GAGTCACAAGCTTAACTGACTGAGCTACCCAGGTGCCCCGAAGCACAACAAATTTTTTAAAGTATCCTTCTCTACCAAAAAGGACAAAAGTTAATCAAGGGAGACAAATTTAGAGAGACCCTATCAGCCTGGAGACAGCACCAGAGGAAACTAACAAACGAGCCTTTATCTACCATTAGTTTACCTTCCCACAGTTTGCCCTCCTTGGAAGCCTAAAACTTCTTTCCTTTCTCCAGTCATTTCTCCAAAAACATATTGCTCTTTGTTGAGGACTTAATATAAACCAGAGTTCTAATCCACCTCTGAGTTAATTCATTTTCCCTGGGTATCTCCCATGCATACATGAGGTATACATGTTAATAAACTTGTTTATCTTTTGTTTTTAATGTCTTTTATTACAGGGGTTTAAGCCAAGGTCTCAGAGAGGTAGAGGAAAATTTTTTTTTCTTCCCCTACAATTTTTTAATAAATCCCTACTACTCAGATTTAACAGTAACGTTTTGCCAAAACAGTTTCAATTTATCTATGCTACCCACTGTTTTTGAAGAAACTTAAAGCAAATACTAACTGTATCAATTCACCTATAAATATTTCAGTGTTGGGTAGCCCGGGTGGCTCAGCGGTTTAGCGCTGCCTTCAGCTCAGGGTCTGATCCTGGAGACCCGGGATCGAGTCCCATGTCAGGCTCCCTGCATGGAGCCTGCTTCGCCCTCTGCCTGTGTCTCTGCCTCTCTCTCTCTCTCTCTCTCTCTCTCTCTCTCTCTCTCTCTGTCTCATGAATAAATAAATAAAAGCTCAAAAAAATATTTCAGTGTTTATCTCTTACAAATAAGGACTTTTTTTTAAAGGAGGGGACAGAGGGAGAGGGAGGGAGAGAGGGGAGGAAGGGAAGGATGGAGGGACGAGAGAGAGGGAGAGGAGAGAGAGAGAGAAAGAGAATCTCAAGCCGACTCCACCCAGTGCAGAGCCCATTGTTGGGCTCCATCTCACCACCTTGAGATCATGCCCTGAGCCCAAATCAAGAGCTGTAGGGTCAACCAACTAACTGAGCCACTCAGGCGCCCAAAGGACTTCTTTTTTTTTAAAGAAGCCCCCGCCCCCGGTTTTTTATCTTTATTTTTTTTAGTCCCCTCTACTCCCAATGAGGGCTCAAACTCACAACCCCAAGATCAAGAACTATGTGCTCTTCCAACTGACCAACCCAGACACTCTGGAACTTTTTTTTTAAAAAAAAAGATTTTATTTATTCATGAGAGACACAGAGAGAGAGGCAGAGACACTGGCAGAGGGAGAAGCAGGCTCCATGCAGGGAGCCCGATGCGGGACTCCATCCTGCGTCTCTGGGATCAGGCCCTGGGCCAAAGGCTGCACCAAACCGCTGAGCCACCCAGGCTGCCCTTTTTTTTTTTTTTTTTTTTTTAACAAACCAAAATGCCACTATCACACCTAACACAAATAATAATTCCTTACTGTCATTTAATACTCGGTCCTTATGCAAATGATCCCAGTAATTTCAAATTGTCTTTGTGCAGTTTGTTCAAATTAGAAACAAGCAAGCCAGATCCACATAGTACATTTGGCTGAAGTGTTTCTTTTGGTCTTCCTTTTATTTTCTTTTAAGATTTTTTATTTATTTATTCATGAGAGACACAGAGAGAGAGGCAGAGACACAGGCAGAGGGAGAAGCAGGCTCCATGCAGGGAGCCTGACGTGGGACTCAATCCCAGGTCTCCAGGATCAAGCCCCGGACCAAAGGCGCTAAATTGCTGAGCCACTGGGGCTGCCCTCTTTGGTATTCCTTTATCTCTAAAGGATATCTGTTTCTTTTTTATCTATCTGCTTTAGACATTGAGTCATTAGTACTGTCAACTTTCCTGCTTTCTGGATTTGGTATGTGTTCTTCTGATGATTTTCTATCTCCCATATTTCTTGTAAAGTGGCAATGAAATCTAAAAGCTTGATTAAAATCCACATCTTTTTTCCAAATATACATCATAGGTGATGTTAGACCCTTCCTACTGCATCCGTTCAGAAGACACAGCAACCTTTCATCTGATGGTTTTAGCATCCACAGATGATCATTGCCTTTGTTTATTATTTCATTAGCGGTTGCTAAATGCTTTTGTTGTTGCTTGGTTGGTTGGCTGAGTGTTTTTTGTTTTGTCTTAGTAAGCCCCATGCATGCCCAAAGTGGGGCTTGAACTCACGACGCTGAGATCAAAAGTCACATGCTCCACTGACTGAGCCAGCCAGGTGTCTTTGCTAAAGGATTTTTAAATTTTATCCATCCTTCCATATTTATTAGCTCAGATTTGACTATTAAGAAATCAACATTCTCTTACCAATTATTTGGTTACTCTGAAAGACAACATATATAGGAAGCACAAAATGCATCTTTCTTTTCATTTAGAAATAAACTTTTGTCATGTCACTGAAAATTCCGTGTTTACCTGTTATTTTATTTTTATTTACCTGTTATTGCTAACATTATTTACTTTAATATCCTAACTTCCCAGTCACTAAGGTAAATCAGTAAAACATGGATTTTCCAGGAAAACAAACACTAGCTATGAACTCTATGTGATTAATTTTTAAAAATTCTATCAGGGAAATAGTAAAATACAAAAAGTTCCAGTACTTTGCATATTATTAAATGAGAGTATACAGTGCATTTAGTTATATAAAAGATCCCTACACAGTGCACGTGGGTGGCTCAGTGGTTGAGCAACTGCCTTCAGCTCAGGTCGTAATCCTGGGGTCCTGGGATTGAGTCCCACATCCGGCTCCCCGCGGGGAGCCTGCTTCTCCCTCTGCCTATGTCTCTGCCTCACTCTGTGTATCTCATGAATAAATAAATAAAAATCTTAAAAAAAAATCTCTACATTTAACTAAAATCTTTACTACTACCCACTTATATCTTTTGAGTCCCATTTTGGTTAAATCAGTATGGAATACAGTAGTCCTCCCTTATCTGTGGTTTTAGCTACCTGCAGTCAACCACAGTCCGGAAACAGATCATCCTCCTGACTTATCAACAGAAAGTCAACAGTAGCCTAATGCTGTTAGGATGCCTGTGTCACTCAGCTCATTTCATCATCTGATATCATCATCATAAGGATGAGTATAGTACACAATAAGATATTTTGAGGGAGACAGACCACACTGACGTAAGTTTCATTGTGTTATGTTGTTAAAACTGCTTTATTTTATTAGTTATTGTTGTTAATCTCTTACTGTACCTAATTGTAAATAAACTTATCACACGTATGTACATATGAGACAAAACATCAATATATATAAGGTCGGGTACTAACCAGGGTTTCAGGCAACCCCTGGTGGTAGGGGGTGGGTATTGCAATGACGATCCACCACCCCACCTGCCTCAGATAAGGGGGGAATCACTGTAAAAACAGGAACTTCTGGGGATCCCTGGGTGGCGCAGCGGTTTGGCGCCTGCCTTTGGCCCAGGGCGCGATCCTGGAGACCCGGGATCGAATCCCACGTCGGGCTCCCGGTGCATGGAGCCTGCTTCTCCCTCTGCCTGTGTCTCTGCCTCTCTCTCTCTCTCTGTGTGACTATCATAAATAAATAAAAAAGAGAGAGAGAGAGAGAAGTATTTAGTGTTTATATACTTCTGCTTAAAAAAAAAAAAAAAGTAACTTCTGGCTGGCTCAGCGGTTTAGCACTCCAGGGCATTATCCTGGAGACCCAGGATCAAGTCCCACATCGGGCTCCCTGCACGGAGCCTGCTTCTCCCTCTGCCTCTCTCTCTCTGTGTGTCTCTAATGAATAAAAAATTATAAAATCTTAAAAAAAAAAGGAACTTCTAAACAAGCATGGCTACACTTGAGCTTTTTCTGTCATAGTGTCTGGGAAAGCACAGAGGATGTAGGTAAGCATTAACAAGGGATGGAGGAACAAAATAAGGGAGTGGGTTCTGGTAAAGACTCACTTTGGGGGCTGGGGAAGAAAAAAAAGACGAAGACTCAGGTGATCCCCTTCCCTTCCCGCAGAACACACCCGCTGCTGTACAGCAGGGCGCACAGAGCTTCAACTCCTTTTACTCCGCACCTACTCAAGGACAGCAGGTCTCAAGGGAGAGTTCTTTACAATTTTGTTTTTACGATTCCTTTTCAGCGGGCCTAACGCCTGTGTTGGCTGTTTTTGCATCCTCGGAATGCGGCAGCGGGCCTAGCAGGTAACGCGCGCCCTGGGAGTGTTAACTGAATCCAGGAACGGCTGACAAAGCGTGCAGGGGTGGCGGCGGGTCGCAGTCCCTCACCGGTGGGCTCCCTGGCGACTACGCCGAGGTCAAGCTCTCCATCAGTTAAACGGGGGCACCACGACCCGCCTTGTTTATACCTCACCAGCTCCTCCAGAAGCTTTACATAAAGGGCGGCCCTGTGAAATACTGGACACGTGTCGAGTTTGGGTACGGCCGCTGACCAGCATGAACCGGGTGATGGAAAGAACCCTGCACTCAAGAATCCTAAGAGCCAGGCGGCCGTGCAGGCTAACCCGCTGTCTGCCCATCTCAATTAAGCACCAAGAGGTTTAGGCTCGAGGATGCTCCAGGCCCCGCATTCTAACAGTCTGTGAGGCCGCTACGGGCTCGGGACCTCGAGGCTCCCGCATGCAACCTCGGGGAGCAGGGACAGTGAAGGTCGCGGGGTCCGCTCACCCAGTCAAAGTCACACGGGTTGCCGTCTTCGCGCTGCGAGGGGAGACTGCTACAGAGAGGGGGCAGCTTCCTCACGAGTAAGAATGCAACAGAAAGCAGGGCGGACAGGAGATAATAAGGTCGGGCCAGCCATCGTGAAAGTCGTGGCACCGAATACACCAGAGCGATTAGAGGTGCCAGGACCGCCATCTTTCCGGCCTTTGCGGCGCCCGCGGTGCTTCGGCGTCTGTAGGTCTGGCCCCGCCCCTTCCACCAGAGAGCCTTCCATTGGGTTTGGCCTCGGATGCACCGCCTCCGCGCCCGGAAGTAGATCTCTGATTGGACGTTGCGGAAGGTAAGGGGCTTTGACGTCTTATTGGTCGACCTAGATGTCGCTTTCTCCACTTAAGTCATTTTATTGGATATGCGACGGTGGCCCACGGAGACGGCCTTTAGGAGAATCTCTGCAAGTTAGATAGCACTTCCGGAACGTTCTCATAAAGCGACGGAAGTAGCTGCCAGAAAACGGTAGGCGGGGCACCCAATGAAAAGCGGCTCCTAGAGGAAGGGGGCGGGACATCGTGAGAGGATTGTCCAATGAAAACGACCGACGCCAGACACAGGGACCGCGCCAGGGCGGAGGAGACGATGGAGAATTTCTCGGCGCTGTTCGGAGCTCAGGCTGACCCACCACCACCACCAAGCGCGCTCGGCTTCGGACCAGGAAAGCCTCCACCTCCTCCTCCCCCTCCTCCGGGCGGGGGTCCCGGCACGGCCCCGCCGTCCACCGCGGCCACGGCTCCTCCCGGCGCCGACAAGTCCGCGGCTGGCTGCGGTCCCTTCTACCTTATGCGGGAACTGCCAGGTGAGTACTAGGCCTGGCAGAAGGCAGCCAATCGGATCGTACCGAGGAGGCGGTGGGCGTGGCTCTCGGCCAGCCGGGGGAGGTGCGGGGTATCCTAGGCAACGCGTGCCGGGCTTCGGAGCTCCGAGTCGGGAGGGCGCTGAGGACTCGCGACCGAAGGGATGACGTGAATTTTTGGCCTGGTTTGGGAAAGGGGAGAGAAGGCCTTTCGGCGACCCATCTTTCACACCGAATCTGGCTCTGTCCCTGATGCTAGCTTATGGTTCCCTGAAAACTCTCCGGGGTTTGAGTTTGGAACTCGCGACGCCTGATTTAACATCCGTGCAGACCTAAGGTTTTCCAGATCTGTCACAGACATGCTCTTGGTTTGAGGCGTGTTGCCGTCTTCCTGAGGGCTTCCGCGTTTCCTCAACTACCCGAAGGAGGGAGGAGACTCGAACCAAAGAATTGTTTTGTTGAGCACCTACTGTGTACCAAAAGCACTGTTCTAAATGCTTAAGATACAGAAGTGACTAGGGCTGACAGGACCTCTGCCAGTTTTGGAGTTTACATTTCAAAGGAGGAGGTGGCACAGAGTGCACTAGATAACATCACACAGTGGTTAGTGCTACAAGGAGAAAATGTGATAAAGAGTTGAGGCTTTAGCCAGAGTGATCAAAGAAGCCATCTCCGAGTAGATAATATTTGAGCGTAAAGAGCCAGTCACGTGTGAGTGGGAGAGATAACACGCAAGAAATGAGGTCAGAAGCCCTGGTGTGAGGGAAAACCTTGGACTATCCGAGGATCAGAAGACCAGTTGGACTCCAGTGAAGTTTCAAGGGAAGGAGTGATAGGAGATGGAGGGCGTGGGGGAGACAGGAGCCTTTGTAAAGCATTTAGATTTTAAGTTCAGGGGAGCCGTTGTATTTTTTAAATTTTTTTTTTTAGTAATCTCTGTACTCAAACTGGGGCTCAAATGCACCACCCGAGATCAGGAGCCACCTGCTGTACCAACTGAGCCAGCCAGATGCCCCTCAGGGGGAGCCATCTTAGCACACAGGACAGTGACACGATCTGATTTTACTTATTTTTAATTATCCAAACAACTACATTAAGAATGGAAAGTGGGGAAATCAGCCAGAAGTTACTGCATAATAGTCCCGGAAGGAGATAATGGTTTGGACTAGGCAGTAGCAGTGCAGGAGAGAAGTGAACTGATGCAGGGTAAATGTTAGGGGCAGAGCTTAGAGGAATGAAGGGTTGAATATAGAAGTAGGGAGGAACTTGTGAATTCCTGGCTTGAATAGTTGGGTGGATGGTAGTGCTAAGACCAAGAAGGAACACGTTTGAGGAGATGGAAATCAAGAGTCACTTTGGACACGTTACATCTCCAAGTTGCCCCTCAGTTCCTCCCAAGTTCTATTGCTACATCAGGGGTTGAGGGAAATAATAATGCATATTGGCCTGGTGCTCTGAAGTTCACAGTGCAGTTAGGAATGTAATAGAAGGGCAGCCCGGGTGGCTCAGTGGCTTAGCGCCACCTTCAGTCCCAGGTGTGGTCCTGGAGACCCAGGATTGAGTCTCACGTCAGGCTCCCTGCGTGGAGCCTGCTTCTCCCTCTGCCTGTGTCTCTGCCTCTCTGTGTGTGTCTTTCATGAATAAATAAATTAAAAAAAAAAGGTATGTAATAGAATTTGATACTGAGAATAGCCTCTTGAGATAGGCATGTTACACTTGAGTAAAACTGAAGCATAGAGAGGTTGACTCTCCGTTGGTCAGCTAGGGGTTGATGTCCACCAGCACTTTCTCTAACCTTATTTATTCTATTTATAAAATTGTACCTATTTATATCAAGCACTTGACAGATGCTACTACCTGTGTGGGGCAAGTGCTGGGTATGTAGGAAGGGGGGCACCTGATGAGAAGGAAAAGAATTAATAAATCTAGCCCTTGCTTTTAAGGAGCTTATTTTACATAGGGATATAACATATGTGGTTTAAGGATAGTGACTATAGGGCAGCCCCAGTGGTGCAGCGGTTTTGAGCCGCCTGCAGCCCGGGGCGTGATCCAGCGGTTTGGCCCCTGCCTTCGGCCCAGGGCATGATCCTGGGGTCCCGGGATCGAGTCCCGTGTGGGGCTCCCTGCATGGAGCCCACTTCTCCCTCTGCCTGTGTCTCTGCCTCTCTCTCTCTCTCACTGTGTCTCTATGAATAAATAAGGTCTTTAAAAAAGAAACGTTTTTTTAAAAAAAAAGGTTAGTGACTATATTTCTTGTTAAGGCTGATCTCATTACTTCGTGATCATACCTCATATACTATTGAGCACTACATGATGGGGGCCCCTGGGTGGCTCAGTAGGTAGAGCATGCAATTCTTGATCTTGGGGTTGCAAGTTCGAGCCCCACATTGAGAGTAGATGTCTACTTAAAAAAACAAAAAACTACATGTTGCTTTTCAAAATGTGTTCCTTGATCCAAAATGACAAAAAGGTCACTTGAGCCAGACCTTGGAAATTTCATATTGGTGAAGAAAACTTAGAATAACTGTCTTATAATTACATCAATTTTCCTAAAACAAACTTCCTAAAAGGAAACAAGAAATATGTTTTTCAGGAGATAATGGAGACTCATTTGGATGGGTCAGCAATTTGGCATAGGGGAGTAGTGGCTGAAGTTAGAGTAAGATGTGTTTTACCATGAGTACCTAAGGAATTTGAGCTTTTTCCTGAGGGTAATAGAAAACCATTGAAATTTTTGACCTGAGGAGTACTGCTTCTAAAAATATCTGGAGAATATGGGTGCCATGTATTGAAATAGAGAAGACATAAATGAGGTGGAGAAAATTTGGAGTTTAAAAAAATGAATCTGCATGAAATTAGGAGGAAGTTGGAAACCTAAAACTAGTTTTTAGGAGAGGAGTGTTAGGAGACCGGGGAGAGACATTTAGAAATCATCTTCATGGAACTGGTAGTCAAAACAGGATGTTGGATGGGCTCATAAAGTGTTTAGGAAAAGCAGGATAACTAGAATGGCAGGAGGCAGTGTCGGTTTTGGAGGAGCCAGTACCGTGGCACTGAGTCTTCTGCCGCCACAGTACACCGTGCTTCTGGAACGTTTGGCATGAGAAAGGAAAAAGAGAAGGATAGAGCAAGGCCTTGGGGTACGGAGGGAAAATACCTTGCTCTCTTAACAATTACTGAGCACCAAAGATGTGTATTGCATGGGGCACCAGCAATACATGTGTGAACAAGACAAACATTGTCTTGGCCCCCAAGGGACTCACGTCAGAACCTGTGTTTTTCCAAGTGAATGATTATGAACAAGCCACTTTTGTCATTTGCATTCTTCGTGTTCATCATAACTGTAGATGAAATTGTAGGCTAGCTAGCTCCACCCTTTGCCACTAGGTCCTTATTAGATTACTAACAAGCTTCCATTCTTTGAAAAAAGTCAGCCATGCAGTATTTATACTGATAGTACCTTGCATTTATAGAATATAATTTTCAACGTTTTCATTTGAACCTTGAAAAAAAAAAGCGTGCTCAAGATAGCTGTTACTCCACTGCAGAGATAAGGGGAAAGAAACCATGGCATTAACTTTGAGGCAAGAAGCATCATACTTGAAAAAAAAAAAAAAAAGCATCATACTTGGTATTATTAGTAATAGAGACAGTGGTAACAAATTAGTCAGCAGTAGCTAAAAATCCTGTTCCTTATGTGAAGATAATTAGTGTTTCTTGCTAGCGCAAAAAAAAAGAAAGTCCTTGATCAGATGCTCAAGCCTTTGCCCTTTTTGGTCCTTACCTTGCTCGGTAGCTAAGCTCTGAGGTAAGATCCTGCTGTGCCAGAGAGTATAATTTCTCACTGGTAGATTATATGAAAAGCACCCAGAAAAGTGTTTAGCACAGTAATTACATCACGTAAGTTATTATTGCGAGGAGTCCAAGTTGGGGAGAGTGTCTTCTTCTTTGCGGTGAGTTTCCATCTGTGCCCTATTTGGATGTTTGCCGATTTTTCTCCTTGTTCCGACTATTACCATTCTTTGGTTTATGTTTTCAGCGTGTATTATGTTATTTAGTTTTGCTGTTTCTTTAAAAAAATAAATTTAATTCTTTATAATACTCACTACGCTTGGGACTAGTATCTTTTTGTTCTCCATGCCCTCTAGGTAGCACCGAGCTGACAGGCAGCACCAATCTGATCACACACTACAACCTGGAACATTCCTATAATAAATTTTGTGGGAAGAAGGTGAAGGAGAAACTCAGTAACTTCCTGCCGGACCTGCCAGGAATGATTGATTTGCCTGGTTCCCACGATAACAGCAGCCTCCGCTCTCTCATCGAGAAACCCCCTATTCTTGGTGGCTCTTTTAATCCCATCACAGGGACCATGCTGGCTGGTTTCCGCCTCCACACTGGCCCGGTGAGTCCCCTCTTGGGGAGGCCTGAAAGGCGTGGAGATGGTTTCTCTCTCCAAGTCTGTTCCTCCATAACTTACTGAGCAGAACAGATGACGGGAGCAGAGCATTTTGTCCCTCCACTCACCTGGAACTTCCTTTGGTTCCTTCAGTTACCAGAGCAGTGTCGCCTGATGCATATTCAGCCTCCCAAGAAGAAGAATAAGCACAAGCACAAACAGAGCCGTACCCAGGATCCTGTCCCCCCAGGTAAGCAGCAGTTCTATTCAAAGACAGAAAACCTGGACCCGGTTGGACCATCCTGTTTTTAAAAACCCAGTTAGGTTCCTTACAGAGCCCCAGACTTCCCAAGTTCTCCTGATACTGGTATAAGGGCAATTAGTGTTTCCTTCAAGTAGAAAGCTGGAACAGTGCCTTAGCAGTGCCTCCCTTATCCTTTCTGGCCATTAGAGGAGCAGGTGCCCTTGACTAGGTTTTCCTGTGGTCTTCAGAGTTCCTAGCCGTAGGGAATTTTGAGTTCTACAGGTGATCGGCACACACTGTTTCCTACAGAAACACCATCTGATTCTGATCACAAGAAGAAGAAAAAGAAAAAAGAGGAGGATCCTGAACGGAAAAGGAAGAAGAAAGAGAAGAAGAAAAAGAAGGTAGGTTAGGGCTGTGCTGCTGCAACCCAGAGCCTCCCTGTCTCACCCTGTCTTTGAAGGTCCTTTGCCTCAGGTGGGACCCAGGATTAAAACCCAGGGCATGTTGCAGCTTTTTCCTGCACCTCCTGATGGAGGCCAAGGCTACTTCCTAGTTGTTCTCTTAGCCCTCCTCCCTTGTCTTCCCCAGAACCGACACAGTCCAGACCACCCAGGCGTGGGCGGCTCTCAGGCCAGCAGCAGCAGCAGCCTCCGCTAACAGGACTCTACTGGAAGGGCTTTTCCTGCTGTCCCGAACCTGCTGACAAAAGCTGCCTTCCAGGCCCAGACTCTGCCGTGGGAGCGTCCCCTGCAAACGGGATAGAAGCCAGCTCCAACTGTGCTGGGCTAAGATTAACACATTATTTGAGAAGGGCCATGCTTTTGTAAAGCTCGGCCCAGTTGGCTTTCTCACGGACATCTCTTCCTCTCCGGGGAAGCTTTCTTTTCATCTCTTCTGTGCAATTGGTCTGATTTAGGACATTGTCTGATCTGTTAGGGTTTTTCTTAAAAAAAAAAAAAAAAAAATTGCATTTATCAAACTGGCTGAACTGTGGCTGCCTGTTAAGACATAAGTGCCTTTCTATGTGAGAGTCAGGGTTTAAGCCAAGGCATTCAAAGATCTGTGGGGAATTTGGGTCTTCATTACATTATCTTATTAGCAGGCAGGGAGACCACCAAAATGAGATTGGGGAACATGGTCCACAAGTGAGGCAGAGCTTGCTAATACCTGTCGACACTTCACACTGCCCATCATGTTGAGAACCAAGCACCTGGATGAGATCTATACCATCTATCTGAAGAGCTGATCCAGTTAAGGCTCAGCTCCCTTCTAGCTCAATTTTGCATTGAAACAGAATAGCCAACTGAAAAAGCACCCACAGTAATCACCAGTGTACTTCAACAAGGTCAATTCCTGGCCAAGCCTATGGGTTTTGTTTTGTTTAATCTCTGGCAAGCAAAGGTAAATGCTTCTCATCTTTATAAGAATCTTTAACCTGCCTCATTCCTTAGGTAAAACAATGAAATTATTAGGCTGATGTGAAAACATTTCTAACTTCTAAGCCACAAAAAAGGGAACCTAAACTAGCAGAATGTGAAAGAAATTCCTTCAATGTTTACAGCAGGCCAGGTAACTAGAAATGTCCACGAGAAAACCCAAACTATTGTAATCTGACTTTAAATAAATTTGACACAGAACAGTTAAAATCTGTTGCTATGAGCCAAGATTGTTACTAGATCAGTAGGTGGAAAACCAGTCATTGAGCTACAGTTTTAATCTAGGATTTCAGAGCAAGGGTGTATATACTTAAGTCACGGACAGTGAAAATAATGGGTTCTGGCAGGCTTCCGGAGATGTAGTGTCTGAGGTGGCCTATTTAAAATTAGGGCACAGCCTTTTTGCTTTCAACAAACAGAACAGACACCATGAGCTACCAAACTGGAGTGCCAGCCACATCCAGGCAGTCTCCCTCTAATGGGCTTTCATCCCTTGATCATCCACTGTCTCACTTCTGGCTACATCCAAAGAGCTTTCCTGTCCAGAGACAAAATTCTGTATTTAAGAACTGTGGCAGTCAAGAGTTCTCTAAACTTTGAAATGGCAAGGAGCTGAGGTGGTCACAAAAGGTTTCTTCTAGGAATTTTTAAGTCACCAAAATAAAAACAGAACCTGTTGTTTTAAGTGGTTATTCTCTAGTCCTGCCTAAAGGTGGGCAGGACCAGGGAAGCTTACAAGGTTTTCTTTATAACTTCCCACCAGAGATCATTCGCCCTGCCTTAACCAGACAAAATAACACAAGTCGGGGGAGCTGGTTAGATCAGGATTTCTTTTTATTCCTTGTTGGTTTAAAATGGCTAATTAGAATAAAAAATAAAAGGGCCTCTGTCTAGAGGCTGGGGTCTCCCCTATTTAGAGGTTAGAACCCAGGTACCCCCACTACCCAGCACCATACTGAGGTGGGCTGAGGGGTAACCCCCAAGGGACAATCGGAGGGGCCTAGGCCTGCCACTTCTTCTCTCTATCCCATTTTTGGCATGTGATGAAAAATATTGCTTTTTGGATTCATCTCTCCTGGCCTTGGATTTAAAAATAATGTGAACCATGTGAGTTGGGGGAAGGCTCTGAGGGGACTAGAGAGGCCCACCCTAATCCCTCTCCCCCAAGAAGGGGGAGGTTATCCAATATTGTTTCTGGAGCTCAGCCAAGCTCTCTTCCTGATCTCCCCACCACCACCAAAGTCATGGGGCTGTGACCCCTTTCCTGGGGAAGCTAAGTGCCAATGAACCTAGAAAACTAACTCTCCTCTCCAAGTCCTTCCCTCCTCTGACCAAGACCCCAGATTCGCCTCTCCGGAGCTTTCTTTCCTGATCACTACGCACCCACACCAGGGGGTACACTTTCCTCAGTTGGTAACTGGGACAAAAGAGAGGGAACCACTGGGAAAAGGAAGACTTTGATGGATGTCCCCGCTGCTTTCCTGCTGGTCTGTGGAATGGGAAGAGTAAGATACCCCTCCTTCTACATATCCCTCCCTCATTTTCCCATCCCAGGATAGATATAGAATTTCTTTGATATTTATAATATATATATATGTATATATATATATATATATATGTACACACACACCTGGTAACGCAGAGAGGAAAAAAATAGAATCCGTAACAATAATAAAAAAAATTATTTCTGGTTTAAAAATGATCTGGTTCCCTCCAGGGCGAGCAATTGCACAAATGTCCACTGAGTCTGGTCCAGGGGTTAAGGAGGGGGAAGGTCTTAAAAGGTGAAGGGGGTTGCTACCCCAGTCTCAGGGCCCCAACTCTCCGACTCCCCAACCCCGCTGCATTTTATGAAACGCTCCTCATCCTCTTGGAATCGGTGGTTTAAGAAAATGTCCATGCAGGGGAAGGGAGCCCCTTGAGGAAAGGAAGGTGGCCACCTGGGGCCCTTTGGTGTAGGCGCAGAGGCGTGGGGGGAAGGGAGGTGCCGAAGGCTCACACGGAAATCTCATAGGTGGTACCACCCACCCCTGACACCTTCTTGACTCCGCCCCTTGTGGGGCTGCTGAGAGGTTGCTGGCCTGGGCCAGGGGAAGCTGAGCCTATACTCTTGGGCTGCCCATTTGATTTGCTGTAGGCGGTCTTGAGCTGTACTTCATCTCTGGGAAGAGAAAGAGATAGGCGTCAGGAAGTGGGACACAAACACAGAAAAGGGACAGTTTTAAAGGTTATGAGAACAAACTGACATACTTTTTTTTCTACATACATACTTTCTTACCCAAACATTCCCACCTGTTTCACTGCCCTGCTTAAAACAAACCTGATGCCCTATCTCCGCTCTTTATTCCTTCTCTGCAACAGCAGCTATCTTAAATACAGACTCTCAGGCAAATACGTACATTTTGGGAAGATAGGATTAAGACAAAAGTATGAATCTTTAGGCTCTTAACAGGAATAGCCAGGAAGGCAGCTGGAGTGAGTGAAAGGAGCTTATGTATAAGCAGGCACCTCTGAGTCCATGTGCACCCAAGGGAAGTCATGCTATCTTCTGTAGGACCCTATGCTAATTTTAAGTCCACTGAGTTTCAGGATGGACGTACATACTTACTTGGGTGTCAGTAATGGCTGCAAGGCTACTTCCTCTGCCTCAGAGACACCAGCTGGGGCTTTTTGGCTGCTGTAAGACATAGATCGGCCCAGGTATGGGGCAGTTGGGCCTGGTTCAGGGGAACCTAGTCCCCGGCCCCTTAGCCCATCTGGCTTGCCAAAACGGGGGGCAGCTGGGCGTCCCAGTGGAGTCTTGACCAAGGGTGACCTCTTTGAATCATCTGAGGAGGAACTAGTACGAGGGGCATGGCCTGAGCCCGGTGTTGACTGAATGCCTGAGTCCCCCAGGCCTGGTTCTTCCTCACGGCCTGGGAGTGGGGGTGACTGGCGTAGCAGCTTCTCTCGTTCCTGGAGGGAGGCCACAATATGGCGCGACAGATTGTCGTACCGGACTGGTGAGGGCTCTCGGTGTGTTGGGCCGGTTGGCACCAAACGTGGGTGCCTCTCGGCTTCCCGTTGCTGAGCCAGCCGGGCTGACAGGAAGGGAGAGGTGTAGCCTAAAGGTGGGTCTGGCTCAGGCCCTGCCTGCACTGACTCAAAATCAGGGCTGTCTGAAGGAGTAAGCAGGCTGTCGTAAGATAGGCTTCCATTGCGTGTCTGGTTGGCCAGGCTCTTATAGGAGGTGGAGGTTGTGCCCTCTGAACGAATGGATTGCAACTGGCCCAACTCAAAGCCAGTGCCCTGGGCTGACTTGAGGCTGGAGGAGCGTGAGCCACTGGATAGTGGATCGAAGTGAAAGCTTTTGCCAAAGGTGGGAGAACGAAAACTCTCTGGCTCCAAGCTGGGCTCTGAGCGGTAGCTGGGATGGCGGCTGCTCTCTGCAATTGAGGTTGGCTCCTTCAAGCTGTCCCCACGACTCAACTGAGGGAGAAAATAAAGCATGTTCTTAGTGCTCCTCCTCTTGTGACAGATGCTGGGCCCCAGAGCCCAAGCACTCAGTCAAAACCGGTATTTGGTATGTGCCGCCAATATGCTTAGAACTTTCACATGCATTCATTCTCTTATTCAACACCTAAAGCAAACCCACAAGTTGGAACAAATAGTATCTCACTTTAGAATGCAAAAAAGGAGGCTTAAAGAGGTTAATTAACTCGCCCATGATGGGTTTTGAACTCAGTTATGATGCTGTGATCAGTGCTTTTACCTAGTACGCTACGTTACACCCTCTGATGAAGGACGCACTGTCAAGGAGATTCAATCCCATTAATGCCAACAGTCAGTAAAATGTCTTTGGTTTTTTCCCCTTCCCTTTGCCTCTTCCTTCCCTTCTCCGATATTCTTTTTCCCAGAACAGCTGACACACATCACAACCCTCCTTCCTATAGAGTGCTCAGTGTCAGTACCTTGGCGCTGGAGGAATGAGGCATGGCAGCTGATGTACTGCTGCTACTGTAGCCCGGCCGATACTTGTACATGGTAGGTGTGGGAGGGCTGTCCTTGCCCAGGAGGCTGCTATCTGCAGGAAAAAAGGCCCGGAGACACCACTTTATAAGCTGTTCTCTTAATCTGGGCAGAGATCCTTAAAATACAGAGGGACAACAAGGTAGGAACAGATATACCAGCAACAGAAAGGTCCCAGGAACATGATTTGGCTGCAGTCAAGACTACAGACTCATACAGGCCCAGAACTCAGAGTGAGAAAATGTGCCAAACACATCTAGGATGTTTGCTGGTCTATCTAAACACTGATAGTTCCCTCCCCACAAAAGTCCACTCCACTGCCACTAGCTAAGTGCCCTCCCCCCAGCTGTCCAAAGTGGCTCACGGCCCACCTGCTGGGTGTTCTCAGGCACACTGTGAGGAGCACCTCCCGAGCCCTGCCTGCCTGTCTTCTCCACAGCACACAGGAATCTTGCTCCTGCCACTGCTCTTACCCTCATTAGCAGCCAGGGTGAGGTGCGTCCGTAGCCCTGTGTAACGGCTCAGGTCCGGCTTCGGA